GGGGAGAGGGAAGTCTGGGTTTCCCTGCTGAGGCTACTGCCCCCGCGACCCGACCTCGGATAAGCGGAAGTTAATGGATGGATGGATGGACACATACACACTGCGTTTCTGTTCCTCACATATTATCACTATATTGCTATGGTGAACACAAAAGAGCTATTTAGACCTTTGGTAATACTGAGTGTAAAATTTTCTTTCCAATATATGAACAAATGTAGCAAAACAGTGTAATAAAATGTGCTGTATATTTACATTTGTTTTCTGTCTCCAGTGGTTTTTAGAGGCATTAAAGCCACAAACAGCAGAGAAGTGATGGAGAATTTAGCCAAGAACGTTTTTGTGTTTGTAGGGTAAGACTTTCTATTCAAATGACCAGCTCTTGCTTCCCATGTGTGGTAGTTATTGGTACTTTATAAGAAGAAAATGGAGCAGTGTCCTTCATAGCCTTTATTCCCGGTCTTGCTGCTTATTTTTCATGGTCGGCCTAAGAGTGCTGAGCCTGATTTACATGGCAGTGACCCAGCGGCGGGATTTTGATGACACACCAGCCCCCGGGTTTCTCAACCCTGCATGGATGGCGTCAGTCCCTGACAGCCGGCCCCTGTCCGAGGTCACGCTCCCCGGCAGCCACAACACCATGGCGCGGTACGGGGGAGCCCCGACTCGGTGCCAGTCCTGGCCCCTGGCCTTACAGCTGCGGGCTGGCGTGCGGTTCCTGGACGTGCGGGTCCGTCACGTGAAGGGCAATCTCACCATCCACCATGGTGTGGTGTACCAGCGGGCTCACTTTGGTGACGTTCTTGAAGACGTGGCTGCGTTTCTCCATGAGAGGCCTACTGAGGCCGTACTGATGCGGCTCAAGGAGGAATTCAGCGAAACTAATGACATCTACGGGTCGGTGGTCAGCTACATCCACCGCTATGCCCATTGGAACCTGCTATGGCATAGCCGCCTGGTGCCAACTATGGTGCAGGCCCGTGGAAAGCTCATCATCCTGCAGGACTTCGTTGGCCCAGACCTCGGCATGCGTTATGGATCCCTGGACATCGCTGACGAGTGGAAGGTAAAGGTCTGGGGTTTGGATGTTCTATAGACACCAACAGAAATGTCATTAAGGAGCTGCGTTCACATTTATAATTATCTAGCAGTAAACAGGCCATTTAAATAACTGCGGAGACTTCATCTGTGGACCCGTAGGTAACACCTGCATTTCATGTATGTCTGTAGGTAAATGCAGCAAAATTGCACAAATATAAAGTACAAACTCCCTGGGTTATGATGGGGTTACGTTCCAATAAAGCTATCGTAAGGCGAAAATATTGTACGGCTAAAATGCATTATAATACAGTACAGCTAACCTAACAAACATCATAGCCTAGCCTAGCCTACCTTAAACATGCTTAGAACACTTACATTAGCCTACATGCAGATGGGCAAAATCATTAACACAAAGCCTATTTTATAATAAAGTGTTGAATATCTCACGCAATTTGTTGAATAATGTACTGAAAGTGCAGAAACATTTACCCATCATAACGTCGACATATCGTACCACAGATTATCGCAACCCGGGGAGCTTATGTGCTGTGAAAAAGTCAAGAAAAGTACTGTGACAGGCAGTCAAAGAAAATGTTTAAAGCTATCATTAAAACTTGTGCAAATTAACAGTAACAATAAAAAGTAGCAAGAATCCGGAGGACAGAGAAGAAGCCACTGCTAGATCGTTGTAAGAACAGCGCTTCAGTTCCCTAGCCTCTCCTCCGGGGCACCTCAGCCGTTCCACATATCTGTTACAGTTCACCACCAGCTCTCTTAATTAATTAACTTACTTAAATGAGTCAATGAGGGATTCATTAGCCAAACATGCTATGCTAGTGGTCGAATCAAAATGCATGGTTGTATTGGATGGTTGTGGCAAATACATTGGTGACTTTAGGAGAAGTTTTGAATATGCTGACTCATTTTGACAGACATATCATAATATTGTGAAGATCATTTAGACATCATTTTCTTTGACTGTTTAAGACTTGTGCAGAGTGCTGCATTTTATTGTGCAAAATAGTGAGAAATTGAAATGATCTCTCGTAAATTAGATGAACGGCGACTAATACATGCTCCAGTCTCCTGAACTCCAGCGAAGATCAGAGCTGACGTGAACCTACTGCTTTCGTCCTCCAGGTGCCGACATTCCTTCACTTGCCGGCAAAGTGGGAGACTGTGCGCAAGCACTTGGGAGCCGCTGAGGCCGGGAACAAGGCCCAGATGTTCCTCACTTACTCAAGTGGAGCCGGGATCTTCGCCTATCCGATTTCCGTGGCCCGACACATCAATGCCCAGCTCTTAGACCACCTCGCGCTCAGGGCAGGAAAGCCCAGGCGCTATGGCATCCTGGCCATGGACTTCCCTGCCGCTCCACTCCTGCAGACCATCATTAACTTCAACTGATGTGGAAGTATAGCGTTCAGCAGACTCACATAACAACAGTGAGCAAACAGCAGCTTACTGATCCACCTCAAATGGATTATCTTTACGCTTCATTTGGAATCAAGGCACACAAACAGTGACTGAACCGGGCAACTGACAAAGGAGACACAGACGTTTGGACTTTGTTACAATCATTTTCATGTTTCATGTCGCATTAAAGAAACAAACAAAAAAAACAGTTCATTGTTGTGCAGTTGTATGTACTATAATGCCTGATACACAAACATTGCCCAAACAAATACTATACCGTATCAATACTCTTTTGCTCGCCTAGGACATCATGTCGGCTAGGACCAGGATTGGCAGAAGTGCAAAATATTATGTTCCAAACCCCATAAGGAGAGTCTGTACCAGTACTTTGTTTATTCCATTGCTCTAAGAATTAAGCCTACTGTGCCGTCGAAAGAGGTTGCCTACCTGGCACTAAGCTGTACTTAAAAAAGTGGATACTTAGTACATACTAACACAACAAATATTGACCTTCGATACCAAACAGTTTGCTTTCCATTGTAAAATGCAGCACAGTTTTTCATTTCACAATTTCATCTGTTCAGGCTTCTATGGAAGCAGGTAAGATGTAATAGGACTCTTAAACACAGTCCCCAGATAGCGATCTCTTTAATAATTTTTAAACCAGGTCATTCCTAGCTGACTAATATTTATGCATATTTCCTTTGAAGCCACATGCAGAGGCGCAGCTGCAGTCATTTCATGACACTTATCGTTTCTAAAAATGAAAAAAATATAGCAAATGGCATTAATACAGTAACTATGAGGAGCATAAACCGGAAAGCATGAAGCATCCTGGAAACCCTTAATGTAACATGCAACCTGACTAAGGCTTCCAACAGAAGACCTAACCTGACAACCTTCTTAAGTAGCCAAAGGCTTCTAGTTGGTCGAATTACCGTAAAGTGCATTTAAATATGGCCGTGCATCATCGGAAAATAAAGCTATGCAGCAGTCCCTCACGGAGAAATTCAGTCAAAGATGTGAGTTGTAGCGATGATTAATCTGAATATATAAAGACATGAGTTTTCCTGTGATACTGGTCATACTGGGCGTCATCTGGGAAACTGGAACTTTCCACTACGTGTCGCCTAATCACGTGCACTAGGCAGCCTGGAAGACTGGCGTGCACTTGCTCTGCCAGCTGTGCCTTGTTCCTCCTCCACTTTTGCCCCTGAATGGCGGCCGGAAGAGTTTCCTTATTTAAGCTTCTTGGCTGAAGGCTATAGGACACCACCACATGTGGCTCAGTGTCAAAGACAAAGTGATTCCCCCCACTGATTCCATGATACTTCTTACCATAGATCAGCTTCCAGAAGAAACCTGTAGAGGGAGCATAAATCCTTACAGACCAGGACACCCAGTCATACTTTTGTTTTAGGAAACCTATAGCGACATCAGCTATCTCCTGGTTAGGCCTGCCTTTCCAGGTACGGATACGTTTCCCAATGTCAATTTCTGCCTGTTTGACAAAATTAACCTTGCAGTCTTCAACAACAGCCTTCATCTTCTCCTCAATATGCTTCACTTTCTCAGCCCAAACACGAAGAAGCTCCTCCTCCTCATTACAATCCTTCAGGGCTGCATGGCCCACCAGGGCGACAAGTCCAATGAAGAAAAGATTCTTTAACCGGGCGCAGAAGTCCTCCATGGACCTCCGGTTTTTTTCTTCATACTTCAGTGTGATCTCCAACACTGACTCACCTGAGAAGTTGTCTCCGGTCACAGCTCCATACAGGGTGTTTAAGTTCTTTTCTCCTCCAGTCTTTGCAAAATGTTCCATGAAGAGCTTCTTCTTGACCTCACGGAACTTGGGCTTGGCGTTGAGGATGTCCATGTATTTACGAAATTGGCTTGTCAGGTTCTCCTCCACCTGGAAGTAGGCTGCGTCCACACCGCTCTTCTTGACCTCCTGGGTAATGTTCTCTGCCTCTTCAGAGATCACATCCAGGCGGTCACGTACCTTCTGAAACTGCTCCTTCATGAATTCTGCCTCTGGGCTCTCCTGATTGTCCATGGCTAATTGCACGAGGGGCGATACAATGGAGAAAACAGGGAACATCTCTCCCACGGCCTCAGACAAGGCCTCAGCCCCTTTCTCAAATATCTCCATGAAGTCCTCTATCACCTCTTTCTTTCTGACCAGCTGCTTCAGTTTACTAGCCATTGGAAGAAACACAGCGCCTCCTAGGTGACAAAAAAAATTACTGCATCAATTTGAAGCGTTCTTGTTACATCCTTATCTCCATTAACTATTTGCTGCAGCCTGTATCTAACATGAAATTCTGGTGTTAGCCCCATGCCAATTAGCATCTCTACAAATCCCTAGTTGGCCAAGGTTTAACCTAAAACATTTATGATAGGTGTTAATGTAATATGAAAAAACCACAATGGTGAATTCATCACCTGAGAACCACTATAGCAGGCCTGCCACTTTCAAATTGTAAACTGTAATGTAAAAGCTATATTCTAAGGGCAACTTTTTGAGCAATGCTGCTGACCGATGTTGCTGGGCAATGCTGCTGGCCGATGTTGCTGGGCAATGCTGCTGACCGATGTTGCTGGGCAATGCTGCTGGCCGATGTTGCTGGGCAATGCTGCTGGCCGACGTTGCTTGGGCACTTTCTCATTGATATTACGTAACCATGCAATTTCTATTTGAAAACTTTTCATTGGCAGTGGGCAATTTTTTTGTGGTCATCTACATCCAGATGAGTTGCCCTTTGTCTCACCTGGTTGGCAGTTGCTCAGCAACTTACTCAAAAAGTTGCCCTTTGTATCGTTACCTTAACATTTTGAAGTCCAGAGTATACCTGTAACTGTCAAATTACAACCTCTCTAGAAAACAAGCATGAATTTTGCATCATCACTTTAAAATTCCTTCCAGTCTTTTGAAGCTATTTTATGCATCACATCAATAATTGTTTACTTTGCACATTGGCTTTGCAGTAAAATGTTAAGCGATAGATGCTGATAAAAGACATAAATAAGGAAACCTTGTGTATATCTCACAATATTTTGAGTACTTCCATCATCATATTATATAGTTATGTTGTGCTTTCCTCTGTTTCAATTTCAATGATGCAATATACACTCACCTAAAGGATTATTAGGAACACCATACTAATACGGTGTTTGACCCCCTTTCGCCTTCAGAACTGCTGTAATTCTACGTGGCATTGATTCAACAAGGTGCTGAAAGCATTCTTTAGAAATGTTGGCCCATATTGATAGGATAGCATCTTGCAGTTGATGGAGATTTGTGGGATGCACATGCAGGGCACGAAGCTCCCGTTCCACCACATCCCAAAGATGCTCTATTGGGTTGAGATCTGGTGACTGTGGGGGCCATTTTAGTACAGTGAACTCATTGTCATGTTCAAGAAACCAATTTGAAATGATTCGAGCTTTGTGACATGGTGCATTGTCCTGCTGTAAGTAGCCATCAGAGGATGGGTACATGGTGGTCATAAAGGGATGGACATGGTCAGAAACAATGCTCAGGTAGGCCGTGGCATTTAAAGATGCCCAATTGGCACTAAGGGGCCTAAAGTGTGCCAAGAAAACATCCCCCACACCATTACACCACCACCACCAGCCTGCACAGTGGTAACAAGGCATGATGGATCCATGTTCTCATTCTGTTTACGCCAAATTCTGACTCTACCATTTGAATGTCTCAACAGAAATCGAGACTCATCAGACCAGGCAACATTTTTCCAGTCTTCAACTGTCCAATTTTGGTGAGCTCGTGCAAATTGTAGCCTCTTTTTCCTATTTGTAGTGGAGATGAGTGGTACCCGGTGGGGTCTTCTGTGTTGTAGCCCATCCGCCTCAAGGTTGTACGTGTTGTGACTTCACAAATGCTTTGCTGCATACCTCGGTTGTAACGAGTGGTTATTTCAGTCAAAGTTGCTCTTCTATCAGCTTGAGTCAGTCGGCCCATTCTCCTCTGACCTCTAGCATCAACAAGGCATTTTCGCCCACAAGACTGCCACATACTGGATGTTTTTCCCTTTGCACACCATTCTTTGTAAACCCTAGAAATGGTTGTGCGTGAAAATCCCAGTAACTGAGCAGATTGTGAAATACTCAGACCGGCCCGTCTGGCACCAACAACCATGCCACGCTCAAAATTGCTTAAATCACCTTTTTTTCCCATTCTGACATTCAGTTTGGAGTTCAGGAGATTGTCTTGACCAGGACCACACCCCTAAATGCATTGAAGCAACTGCCATGTGATTGGTTGATTAGATAATTGCATTAATGAGAAATTGAACAGGTGTTCCTAATAATCCTTTAGGTGAGTGTATGTTTCTCTCACAGAATCGATTCTATTTGTTGTTCTGAATCATATGATTTGTATCGTAATGTGAATGGACTCGGCACTAGGCATACTGTAAACTTCTGTCCATTTTCAAATACAAGGCTATAAATGGTAAAGTTTTACATTAACTGCACATTCATTATGCATTCATAGTACATTCAGTGCACCTTCATAATGCATTCATAGAACATTCAGTGCACCTTCATAATGCATTCATAGAACATTCAGTGCACCTTCATAATGCATTCATAGAACATTCATAAGCAGCATGTAAGTATATCTTGACATCCTAACATATTTTAACAGCTTTAAAATACATTAATAACAAACACTGCACAATAATAACAAGCATTGTAATGGGATAATTGTATATATAATGTTTGATATTAATGTATATTACAGCTATTATGGTATTTTAGAATGATACGGTATACTGTACTTACATGCTGCTTATGAATGTTCTACAAATGCATTATGAAGGTGCACTGAATGTTCTATGAAGGTATTATAAAGGCATTATGAAGGCCCAGTTAATGTAAAGCAGGGTTGGGGAACCTGATCCATGGAGGCCAGTGCAGGTTTTTGGGGTGACCTCTCATTCAGCCAGTAATGAAGCAGTGGCTCTCAACTCCAGTCCTGGTGACCCACTGTGATTGGCTGATTGAAAGGTCATTCCTAAAACCCGCACTAGCCCCGCATGGATCAGGTTCCCCATCCCTGATGTAAAGCTTTATCTTATAAACTGATTACTTCCCTATTGGCATTTTCTCAAATATGGGTCCTGATGAACCTGTAGCTGCTTCTGGAGAAGAAGAGTTAGAATGAACTGATAAGTGATTAATTCCGTACTGCCATTTTCTCAGAGCTACACTCTGCACTCAACACCTTATTTTCATTTTCATTTCCTCTTTGTTTCAAGAGTCAAGTTCAGAATTAGGACATATTTTTGCAGACTTTTGTGTTTTCTAGATTGCATATAAGTAGACAGATAAACTACCAGTTTTCAAGGGAAAATTATGCATATCTGTTCAGAGAAATTATTAATTATGGTAACAGTGCTGTTCATATTATCTTCTGAAGACAGATGTTATTGCTCTGAATTACTGCTACTCCAACTTACTTTGAATTTAACATCTAAAGTATATCTTATAAAAATGTGTAAACGGAGATATATTTACAATATGTTCATAAAGAGCACACACATTGACCTCAAGTTAACTTCCGCAGTGGTTTTTAAAAAATGAATTACAAGAAGCAAGCCTTGCATCTTGAAACCACATATATAAAATTACGCTTTACATAGAGGCACCTATCCATTGTTTGACATATATATGTATACTTTATAATATATATAAAGTAATACTTACCACACTAGTGTACAAAAAGATCTTGCAGTTCTTTTCCCCACAGAATAGTGAAATGAAACCGTTGCCCAAACTTGGGTCTCATGTCACACCCACTATGCGATTTCCTGCTGTACGCTGTTTGACACCTCGATCTGACCACACCAGGCACTGCTGCCATGCGATTACATATAGCAAGCAGGCGGCTTCCCTCACCTCTGGGCCCTGTTATTTTGGTACAGGCAATGCTTTAAACAGCTAAATTCCCAATCAATACAGCAGGTTACAGTAAACCTATGGTCCGGCAGTACCACAAAAGTTCCACAGAATAACTGCAATTAGATCTCATCCTTGTGCAGGTCAGCAATAACGGAGCCCTTGTTCAATGCAGAAATACATTTTCCTAGCAGTGTTGTTAAACTTTCAACCTGTACTTATTTGATAAGAATGGTATCAAATAGGTCCACGTGTTGGAAAGATCCAGTGCACTGACAATCTAAGAAACATCAGCCAACAAAATGAAGATAAAATAAATATTAGTAGAGCAAAATAGTATTTGAATTGAATTTTTTATATAGTAGAAATAATTTTAATATAATGTGAAATATAACAAAAATAACGCAGAAAATAACTGGAAGTAATTGGTGAGGTTTGCAGGTGACATACAGTACAGGCCTCTTTACTTCCTCTTACGTCTGAGGAAGATCCTGATGTCACATGCAACTTATACCACCGTCTACAGGTGCACTGTAGAGTTCATCCTGACCAGCTGCACATGATCCCAGTATGGCAGCTGCAGAGGGCAGTGAAAACTGCGCAGACCATCATCGGCAGACAGCTGCCAGAAGTTCCAGATGTTTACCTCACGAGGTCTCCCAGAAAAGCACAAAGCCCATAATGACAGAGCCCAGCCCCCAGCAGAGCCCCTTTGTTCCTTCCTCCCCTGTCCATCAGGACCCGGATTTCAAGAGTCAGGGACAGTTTATTTCATACAGTAAGAGGAATGTTAAATTCACACGACCACTCGCAGTGTAATCACAATTTCCACTGTTATTTGTTAAACTTAGCACCCCGCTGTCCTACTTGTATGTTATTGTATATTGTACACTATCAGAAAAATAAGGCCAGCCCTGGTACAAACAACATTAATGTCCCTCCAGTGGTACAAAAATGTTCCTCAGAGCCCATTTCTGTACCTTGAAAGGTACATTTACCTACAGCTAGGGTACAGTTAGCAGACCCTTAAGGGTACAGCCCTAGTGACAAGTAATTGTTTTGTCTGACAGTGTATATACAGTGCATATATTATATCAGCCCTCATGGGCCTCAGCCTTGTTCATGCCTCTCTCCTGTGGTCCTGGCACTGCTCTGGTAAATGATGGATGAATCTCTCACTCATTTCCTTGCAGATATGGATCAATAATCACGTGGAACCAAACATATATCTGACAGTGAAACTGAACTGGGAATTAAAAATGGGCCCTTGATTTTTACCCATGCAGACCCACCACATGTACATACCTATGATAAAATTTGTCCCCCCCCCCAAAGGATGTATTCTGCTGGTATGCCAGATGTACAGTAAAAAAATAAAAAATAGAACAAGAAATCACAAAATACCCCTTAGGCAAAAAATGTAAGAAATTGACTGACCTAAAGACACCAACTGATTGAGTACAGATGCCCGGATCTGTGGACAGACAGAAGGGGCTGGTAACCTGAACAGATCTGCCCTGCTTGGGTCTCTGTACTGCATCCTATCCCTGTTGGACATCCTCGCAGGAAAGCATTAATCTCAAAAATAAAATTTCACGCATATAGTTATTCAGCGATGAACTGCTGTTACAGCCAACATTAGCTAAACAAAGAAATCGGTGGTTCAGACGATAAGCCATCTCCAGGAAGCGGTGAGTAGGGCAGAGGTGGTTGTCTTTAGCCACAGACCGGAAGCCACCTGCATCTTCAACTCCAGTCTTTTCTTTGAACATCCCCCATTTAGAGATAATATAAATACATATAAACATTTTATTTGCCGGTACATTTGAATCGTAACGTAACTGTTCTGCCGAGGCGCGAACCAGCGATGGTATCACATGCACAGAGGTTTAATTAACATGCTGAGGCACTCAGCACATCTTTTGATATGAGCTGCTTTCAATTCTGGAAGTTCCTCTTTCATTGGGTGAGGACTGTAGCTAGGGGAGAGGGGGGAGGGGGGCAATGGTATGGTTAAGTGGCTCCTGCCACCTGAGGTATGCGGGTTATAGAGCTGTTGGTACATTTCGGGCTCCGTGGTAATAAAAGTTTCGAGGGCCTTATGCAGGGGCATTACTAGGAGCTTAATACTTAATTGTCTGTCGGAGGGTTCTCAAACTGATAGCGTGGTTGTTAAAACATCTGAGCTAAACAAATCACTCGGGACTCGTTCAGATTCACTCGGGGCTTCAGGCTCGTGACGCATCTGGTCTGATGTATCTTCGGATCCCTGATGTTTAATTGCTCAATCTTTTCAAAGACCCCTGGTAAAAATGTCAGTTTGTTTTACTGACTTTATTGAAAACATTAGCTAACATCAGCTTAAATCTTATACACATTATATACGTGGGTGGAAAAAAGTTCAACTAAAGCAGTGAATCCAAATTTATTGATTTTCAAATTTAAGATCGATGTGGCATCGCGTCATCTGAGTTGTGCACATCCTTGCAGCACCACTTCTGTCCGTTCATTCAATCTGCCATCTGGATATTGTCATACGTGACTTCCGTGTGACCAAATTGTCTTGCTGGACCACACAGATGGCGCAGCGACATCAACGCTCTTTCTGTACATTTCATCCGTATCTTCGTGTTTTCCCTTCTTTTTTTCTTTCTAAATCATCTGCAATTCACGAAATCTAACTATCTGTCGTAGCTCGATCACAAGGACCGCAATCGCGATTGTGTCCTCGACTTTTAGGACGTGATCTTCGTTTGAGAAAAGAAATAGAAAGAATCTGTGTAAGTCTGATGCGAATTATTATTAAAAAAAACCTATAGGCCTACGTACAGCTTTCCTCTGTTAACTGTCTAAATGTTAGTAGCGATCGAGTGATCAAAGACCGGGAAATATTAGTTTTCCTTCCTTGACCCAAAGGTTTTCCATATCGTTTACCACGCATTCTTTCCTGCAAACGGCGACCCTTATAATGTCTGGTATTAATAATGGCGTCGCTGGACATAAGCTGAGAGCCTCTTTGAAAGATACCTGTGCGTTTCTCAAAGAAAGTACTTTTAATATTGGAGTACATCCGAAGAAAGGAAACTTTTTTAAAAGTTGGGAGACGTGCCATTTGCATGTATTTGGGGATAAATTATAAGAGAAAGACAAAAGTTATATTATGAACGATCCGTATGTTTTTCTAATGAAAAAATATTATTTTCACGTTGTCATATGTAACAGAAGAAAAGTAGACAGGACCAGACGAGAGGCTGGCGTTACTATATGTTCGGTGGCTTGAAAGTCAGCAGGGGACATGAATAGTCAATATGACAATGTAATCCTTAAAAACGAATAATTTTAGATTATAACATAAATTTATTTTGCTAATATAACGAAAGAAGCCCATTTTCTAGATATAAAGGTACTGCGCCGTCTTAGAATAAACTGGGTGTAAATCCATAACCCCCTACATTTAGCGCTAACGTAAATATTTGTTTTGTAACTAATTCACGGCCCAGTTCACGATTCATTTGCAAGTTCACGGCTTTTACCCTGCAAATGATGTTCATTTAAACAAATGGTTCAAGACCGTGCTCTGAAGAATGGCCGTTATTCTAAAATCGACTCCTATAATGGAATCAAAAGTTGCGAAGCGAATAGTCGGTACAAGCTGGGCATTTCTTTTCCAAAAACATCGCCAAAAAGAATACATTATAATGTACTGTTCTTCGTTTGTTTAGTTTGTCTTGCAACATTCAACACAGGGAAGCACCAGGTTTATAAATAGAATGATCAACAATGAAAAATGAAGTGAAAAACTATGCAGCCCCCCCAAAACATGCTGTAATACGCCTTTAAAAGGCTGAGGCTTTCAAAGTATTTTAGCATCTAACAGGCGTGCCGCTTTCAGTCAGCTCTGCGCCCACCCCGTAATTAAAGATACACACAATATACAGTAAGTTGCAATTTTCTTTCAATATCGCTGCGCTTTTTCGCTTCTTTCTTTTGCGGTTCGGTCGCCGGTGTCGTCGGGATCACCGCCGCACTTCTCGAGTCTTTTCCTCGACGGGAAAAAGGGATCTAAATTTTATTGCCCGTTCCTGGGGGCGTCTGACACAGGCGTCCTTCCTTACATCGGGAGACTCGCCCATCTCGCATTCTTAGCAGCCATTTTTCCAGGGGTGCCACCGAAAAGTAGGCCAATTCGAGGACTTAGGCTGGAAACAGTGAGAAGAAAGCTGCGTGATGACAACGGACTGTGATTCACCGCTGTTTAAAAAGCTGGTCAAGGACGCATGCCCTGTTGCATCTATCAGAACATCATTATACAGACAGTAATATTTCTGTCTTTAAGTGTATTGTGTTATTAACGGTGACGTATTATTCTTATTATTATTATAGGTCTTGTGTGCTTGATGGAATATCATGATGCTTGTATAATAACTGATATGAGCAGGGTTAAAAGTTAGCCAGTTACAAACTGACATGTGTTTTTCATTAACACACTAACTTGTAATAAAGGAAACTGGGTTTTAAAACAGTTGTTTAAATTGCACACTGCAGACAGATATCAGCTTATATATGACAGTTGTGTCTCTAAAAAGTTGATTTACAGCATGAGGTTTATTCAACCGCTTAAGATTTTGTTGTCAGCTGAGCGGTGTGAGTAAAACAGGGCTGATATTTTGAAATTAACAAATGTCATGCGCGTTTGCATGAAAACGTAGTTCAGTTTTGGGCAGACTTGCACTCCTTTGAGGGGGTGCTGTTTTATTTGTGGGTCGAAGGGGATGATTTGCAGTGTGATTTTTGTGTGTCTGATGTGTCCGATGTGTCCAATCCTACCAGGATCCAGGATGTCCAGTCATGCGGCTGCTGCCATCTCCGCCATGATCACCAGCCAGGTGTACCCGCAGATGTGGCGACCGGCACCGCGCCCTGCCAGGCGGAGCCAGAATCGCAGCCGGCAGCCCAAGGATCGGGCCATCTTCTCAAAGGGGAATACCAAAGCTGTAGGGGTGAGGACATCAGATTACATCATAAAAGCTTTGCACCACCTGTTAGGTTAGGTGCCTTTCCCTATAACAATTGGGGTTAAGGGGATTTGAACCAACACCCTTGTGATCATAAGCATAGCATCCTAATCAGCTAATCCACCCACCCCTCTTGCTTAGGTTGCACTTCCTGCTGCTTTGAGTGTGACTTAAATGAGGGTAGCGATAGGTCTATGTTCCATCATCAATACTGGGCTGTGCTGCGTCTGTTTGGCTATTTCAGTGCAGCTTATGTCATTAGCATATTAATGTCTTTGCTTCTGGGTTCACACATGCATTGAGACCGTAATGCCGTTTTAACGCTGGTTGAGTTTTGAAGAGGGTAAAATCGATTGTTGTACATAGACAGTAACTATGCCGAAAACAGTATCGTAGAGGCAGTGGGCATTTCGCAAACAAGCAGAATCACTGACTCTATTAAATAATAAGCTCCATGGTTTTCACTGTATCTAGTTGGCCCTGAGATTATAAAAGAAAGCATGTGATGCAACACATGACTTTTTCACTTAGACACATTTACAGTTTCGGCTAAGCAGACGCCCATGTGCAGACCACCACCCTACTGCATTGCGGTCAGTGTGAGCTGATATGTTTCCCAGGCTGTGCCTTGATGTGGATTTTCTCTCTCTGTCTTGAAGAGCATACAGGTTTTAATCGGAGTTGGAGTCCTTGCCACTGTCTTCTTTACATACCTATTGTGGCATGGCATCCCGGCTGTTTTCATCACGATTTCTTTGGTTTTGAGCATAATGGTGAGTATGCAAATAACCATGTTGTATTTTGTGGTTTAGATAACAAGACTTCCATCTTTACACAGCCAGGTACCAAACTGCACCAGTATCTGTTTTAGAACCATTCTCATGGCTAGTAGAATACAGCCCCCTATCACAGGGGTGTCAAACCCAGTCCTGGGGGGCCGAATCCCTGCACATTTTTGGGTTTCTCCTCATTTAACACCTCTGATTCAGCTCCTTGTGCTAATTACCACACAGCTCTTGAGCTGAATCATTTGTGGTGGAACAGGGAAAGAACTAAGCTACACAGGGCTCCGGCCCCCCAGGACTGCAGTTTGATTCCCCTGCCCTGCTGGGGTGTCAAACTGATGCCCATACGGTGGATATTAAAAGTCTACACACTCTATTGAAAGTACATGTTTTTGCAATTTAAAGCCAAAAATCACGTTAAATCATCGAAAACAACTTTTTTTTTTAACGAATTAGTGTCTTTGCAATCAATAAAACTCAAAAGGAAAACAAAGAGGCAGTTAGTAGGACAATTAATTACATCGGTGCCATTAGTAACAGGGCTTCTTGTACATTTTCCAGATGCATTGCTGCCCATTTGGCTCCCGTTGCTCATTTTTATGGTGCCTGTGATATAGAGTTTAACAGTGACACCGTCGTCAATAACCGTCACACCGTAAATCTAAATGCGTAATAAGCTTTGTGTCTGTACTGAAGTGACTGAGAGGATGACTTACAAGTGGCTTAGAATTTTTAGGAGACGGGTCAGACACTGGAAGGATGATTTATGTGTTTTTCCTAAAATCTCATCTTTTCCAGTGTATCATCAGCGGGGTGGTGTCTGCCTTTGCCAGGGGAAATAAGCTGGTATGTGGAACACACCTGCCTCAGTGGAGCCTGTTCACTCTGCACGTCCTGTCTGATCAGCCCTGCTTCTTGGGCTCTGGAACGTTCCTGTGATCCGCATGTATTTGCACTAATGAGGCCCGTGATCATTTTGAGGGACCGACTCATTAAAATATTACATTTGTCTCCCTCGATGACTAGTATTTCACCCAGAAATGTTGGCCATTAAGGCACGGAAAATGACCGATTAATGTCTGAGTGTCTGAGAGCTAATTGAATATGTTCACTATCAGATTATTTATTTAGTAAATGAGGGGCAAAGGACGGCTTGGCTTGTGTTTATTCAGGGAGATGCGAGCGATGCTGAGGCTGTAGAGAGCATTAGCGGACCTCGCTTTTTACAGGATGTGTACTCCTGTGCTGTAGATCATAGCGGCTGTCGTCACCAGCTCCCTCAGCGCCATCATGGCCCTCGTCAGCATCGTCATCGACAGCCTTTTTGTCTTCTGCGGCTTGTGTAACGTAAGTAAAGTGGGGCTACCCGCCTGTCCGGAGTCCAGACTCCCCTCTTGTCCTCGCTCCTCTCGATGTCCGCTCCAGTTTTTCCATTTATGTAGAAAAATTGACATTGTTGTCAGCCTCGTGTCGGGGGGGCTTGGGCGCAGTTACCATAGAGACGGGTTCCAGGAAGCCATCCAGTTGAGTGTTATAATCACATTTATACAAAACTTATTGCATCTGACTAACAGGCACATTACTGAAAATACAACTGTTATATACTGTCACCCCCCCCCAAGTCAGCCCTTGTTAGAACTGTTTATGTTATATGCTTATATTTGTACTAAATGTCCAGCACATCTTAAGGTTGCATGCTGAACATTTTAATGATGTTGTGGTTTGCTTTGATTTGACTACCTTCCTCAGAGCAACCGCACTGCCCCTCTCATCCTCAGCTTGCTCTGTGCCTCTTGCCTTTAATGGATTCTGTTCCTGTTAACAGGGGATTCTGCTGTTCCTCTCCTTCCTGAACCTCTTCATCACTGTGCTGAGTATATTTTACGGGTGCAAGGTTCTCTGCCATGCTGGCACCCAGGTGAGGAAGGACTATTGATCCACACGATTAGCATCCTGAATACACAAGAACCAGAACTCTGAGACAGTTTTTTTTTTGTATCCCTCGTAGGAGGAATGTATGTCTCCATTTACACCAGCAAAAGCATATTCTAGCAATTCTAAATTCGCCTGTAGGGGGAGCCAAAATGTACTATATTTGTATCTCCTTTGTGCTAGCTACAAGATCTTATGTTCTGCCATGTTTTAATATTTTTTTCCAGGAGCCTGTGACCGGCAGACAAGAAGGTTGGAGGGATGGGTTGTCTAGGCGGGAAGATGAGAAAATGCTGAATACCTTCATCCTCGGCCCGCAGGCCAAGGTGTCTGCCACCCCCATCTGTTATCCACTCACAAAACCCCGCAAATCTAAGTATGACCTGCTACTCTGACCAAGAAGACTAACCAGCACTGTTGTTTTTTTCTCCTAGAACCCTGCTACTCACCAACCGTGATCTGCATCTCTGCATTGGCCGATGTTTCCTTCCCAGAATTCCCTGTCCTTTTTACTCCCCCAAGCAAAGGCTTGTTCATCAGGACACAAGCCTGGTGTTCAGGCCACGGCTGCCTTTGTGCATCAGGGATCACCAGATTCTAACTAAAATGATCTAATACCCATCAGCAGGTGGTATATAAACCTTATAGAAAAACACTTATAGACCAAAAGAATCTCTTAAGAAAAAAAAGGAGAATGGAAACCAGAAAACTCAGAATGATTCTCTAACAGGAATGCTCTTCAGTGTGCTGTGGCTGCAAATGTTTTGGTTCAGTGGAATCATCTACTGATGGTCCAGAACATTCTGACAAAATGCAGACGTTGCTCCTCGACGCATCCGAAGGTTCCTTTTATGATGTTGCTTGGTGGTGGAGAACAGACTTCTGGGCTGCGGTGTCTGCTGAATTTAGAGTCACCTCTCACTCCGGAGTGCCATGTAAGGTGTTTTCCAGCCATGGTGAAGGTTCCCACCCCATATTACAAAATAAGATTTTGTACATATTTATGTTTAAGAAGATAGCTCTGACATTGTTTTGTTAAATTAAATAAAAACCCGAAGTGCACATCAAGAGCAGAAAACAGCTGAGAAACATTCTCCAGCTTCCTCAGGATAGGGTTGCAGAAGTCGTTGGAATGTTCTATGGATCTAGCATAAAGAGCTCAATGCTTGGCTCCCGCTAACCACTTGTGGGAGAGGGCAAAGCCTCAGCCTGCCTCAGCCTTTAGGTGCCTTTACTCAGTGGGTCCAACGGGGAAGACCTCCGAGGCGGCCGTCAGCTGTGTGTAGATGGAAAATCAGGACAGGTGTGTTGCTTTCCTCACAGAGTGTACTCACCAGCAACTGAGTCCCCGATCTGACATGTAAGTGGATGTTTCGGAATTCAGTGAAGAGGTGCATTGTGGGAGGTGGCGGTGTGCTACACCACACCGTGCTATTTGTAATCGGTGAGGAAGAAGCATCCAACCCAGGATTAACCATTCCTAGCTTATCCAAGTTTTGCCTAATCTTTTTCATAATGTTGGCCTTTTTTAACAAGTGTTTTTTTCTCCAGCTATATATTGTATTGAATTGGAATTAACCAATTTTAAGTACAATTCCTGTTCCAGTTCAGTATTGACCTGAAACTTCTTTGCACTGTATCTATTTGCTTAGAATGTTTTTTTTGCACTTTACTTTATACTCCATTACCAGTTGTGTCACATAAGAACATAAGAACTATACAAACGAGAGGAGGCCATTCGGCCCATCGAGCTCGCTTGGGGAGAACTTAACTAATAGCTCAGAGTTGTTAAAATCTTATCTAGCTCTGATTTAAAGGAACTCAAGGATTCAGCTTGCACTACGTTATCAGGAAGACTATTCCATACTCTGACTACACGCTGTGTAAAGAAGTGCTTCCTTAAATCCAGTTTGAAATGTTCTCCCACTAATTTCCACCTATGGCCACGAGTTCTTGTATTTGAACTAATGCTGAAGTAACTATTCGGTTGAACAGCATCCAAACCTGTTAGGATCTTATAGACCTGGATCATGTCCCCCCTCAGATGTCACCATTTACATTATATAGCAGTATTGCATTTATAAATGATTATTTTTCTAATTCATTATTTGAGTCTTTTTTTTGTGTACTAGGGAATATATTGTATACACAATAAACAAATTTGTCAGTGTAAAGCTCCTTATTGTGGGTATCTTTTCTTTTTGATGTTCAGCTGGTCATTGTACTCTAGATGAACACTACATTTCAGTACTAATGACACTGTACTGATCCCTGTGGGGAAATTCTGTTTTTGATTCGCCCGTCTTGTTCTCCCTGCCACACATGTAGACGAGAGGAAGTTCGGTGGCCAAGGGCAGCAGCAGCCGTAGAGCTGGGGGTTGTAGGCCGTGCTCAAAGGACCACGGACATGTGACCCTTCGGCCAAGGGCGGGCAAGAACTGGCAACCATCTAACCCAGGGGTCGCCAATCTTATCCCCAAAGGGCCAGTGTGTATGCAGGTTTTTGGGATAACCTTTAGGTCAGCTGTTCAAACCCAGGTGTGAGGACTCTTCAGCCAATCAGTCCTCTAATTAGTAATCTGATTAGGGAGTTGCAGCGAAAACCCGCATACACACCGGCCCTTTGTGGATAAGATTGGCCACCCCTGAACCAACCGCTGGTGTGGAGGACTGGCCTGTTGAGCCGCACTACCATCTCTTCAGTCACTCCCAACAAATAATAGAAGTGCAAAATTACACTTATTAAAGTGAAATTAAATATTTTGTTTTGCCCATCAATTCCACTTTCAACCAAATATCCAGCACAAGTGTGGGTTTTTATATATCATCCAAAACTGAAATATTATTGGTATCATGCTGGTCTTTTTAAAACAGGTGTCAGCATTACTGATAATATGTAGTTGTACATATTTATCCAGTTACCTGTCCTATGAGACTTTAAGGTGTAAGACATGCTGAACTGTATACAGGAGACCTGTTTTTAAAAAGATGTGTGTACAAATAACGCTTGGCTATTACTGACATGGCATACAAATGATAACCACAAGAGGGAGATATTGCACACCGGTATCAAAGAATTTAAGACAAGGTAAATATTTCCAACAAGGGGCGTTCCGTTGCATTGAGCTTTACTCGAAATGAGATGAAATTAAATGATCCTTTTAATTTGCCATTTGCACATGAACAGCTTGCAATGCTTCTCTTGGAATGCCACATCTAGCTCTCATTTGAGACACACGCACACACACATACAGTTGAGAGTGAAGCTTGGGGTCCAGTCACAGAGTCAGGCCACGTATCTGGTGTCCTTAGAGCACTTTGCACTGCAAACTATCAGTGGAAGATCGTCTCTAAAGTTCGATTTTTTGAAAAATCGACAATGTTGACAATTTTGTCTTACAGTAATATCACATTACTATGCTCTGATAGAAGCTACAATGGCACACAATGTTGTTGTTGGCACCTGGGAAGCAATTCTAGTCTATCCTGGTGTGATGATTTGTATATAAGCCGTAGATATTCATTAATGTTCAAATATTACTGATGATGAAGGGCAGCTTGGTAGATTAGCGTAGATTAGCTAATAGATTAGCGTCGTCCACATAGTTAACACCCAGTCACAATCTGACGGCCCTCTTCTGCGTGATGTGCGTTAACATTATTTACGTAATGCTGAATTTGACGTAAAAGTATGTGGTCTTTTTTTACTCAAGCAAGAATATATTTCATGGGTATGAAAAATCCATACTGGCACATTCTAAATGTTAATACTTTAATACAGGCCTGGTCAATAAATAAAGCCATACAATGTTTAAAATATTTATAATCTTAGCACTCAGATAGCAGTATGTGATATTGTGATGCATGTGCAAAAAACGTCTGCATTCCTTTTTAGGGCATGCTTGGGGCGGGGGGAGGTAGATTGGCCTGTCATTCTTCCAGCTAATTTTCACACTTGTGAAGTAAAAGAAAAATAAACTATCTGCCATGTAATTTTCGCAATTGCTAGAATGTAGAGAAACATCAAAGTTGTGGCAGTAATAGGAATAACAGTATTTCAGTAACATTCCATCCCTGCGTAAATACTGGCTTTCCAGTGCAGGCTGACAGGAGGGAGTCTCAGCAGCTGGGACCTCGCTTTGCCTCATTCTCTTTAAACGGAGGCAGCGTTTCTCAAAAGGGCCCAAATTGCTCTCCCAAGCCCGGGGATTTTATCGCTGGCTGGGCTGCTGAACCCTGCATTGCTCTGTGAAGTGACCCGATTCCTTAAGCTTTCAGGGGGGTGAGCCGCGGTTAAAAGATGCACTGCGGTGTGTGTACGTGTGTGTGTGCAGGAGTGTGTGTGGGGTGGACTGGAAGAGAGGACTCCGAAGTGTTGAAGCATAAAATCAGCCTCTCCCCCCCCCCTTTTCCTCTTCCTCCCCCTCTGCCACTGGACCCGACGCGAGACAGGAGCAATTTGTGCGATTTTACAGCTCACTGGCTCTCTACAGCGCTGACAGCCTTGCACTAAGAGAGAGAGGGGTGGGGGGGGATGAAGGCATTCTGGTGCTAGTTGTGATGGGGGTAAGGGGGAGTCGACATCGTGAAATAGGGAAAGGAGATATAAAATAGCAGCAATGGATGGCCGATAACGGGGTAGATGGTTGAGGGAACACAGAGGAGGAAACTGTGAAAAAAGAGCAAGAACAAGACAAGGCTAGTGATGGCATTACGGAAGATGCGTAAAAACGTGCCGTTAAAATGTGCCGGAGAGCAATTCTGCTGCTGTTACGGGGAGCAAACGGTAACCGTGAGGTGAACGAAGGGCATGGAGGATGAAATGAAGGCAGCATGAGTCAGTAAAGGAGCTCAGCTAGCGTCCCTTTCTGATTGGCTAACCTACAGGTACGCATATCCAGTCAAGTGAAGCAGCTCAACTAGCATCCCATTCTGATTGGCTAACCTACGAATGCACCTATCCAGTCCAGCCCCCCTACTTTGTAGTGCCCATATTTAATTAGGGCCTGATTAACATCTAGAACAATAGCACAAACATCGAAACAGCCATTAATAGGTGGTACTGATCAGCTGATGTCCAGGAAGACGCTTTCAGAATAGACGGAATACTGGAGGAACAGTGCAGAGCAAAACAGGCAGGATGGTGGCGCCGTGACCCTGAGGAGTGTCATCGTGGACCCCTCAACTTCACCTTCCACAGCAGTCCAACCTGCCATACTTTGGATGGCTGTCATTTTCCATTGAACACATCTTATTCCCAGCCAAATATATTATTTGTTTCAATAGTCTCAATAGGACATTCAGACTACAAGCAGCACAGAATGAACCAAGACCCATATCATTCTCTACACCCAGGGTATATTACTCCACAGCAAATGATTAACAGCCACAAATGATGTTAGACTGTGATAGGTTTCATTAACAAGATTCCACACTCATCTGGCAGCCTCACATAAATCAGCATGTTAAATATGGTCCCCTACGGAAATTGCCATGTTTAGAAACCAAACAGACAAATACCAAATGTCAAAAAAGGAGAATCAGATGGGCGTCGTCCTGCTTAGTGTATACGATGCAGGGTCCCCTGTGATTACAGGGTAGATTCCAGAATCTGGAAGAAGTATATATGAATACAGATATATGAAGTCAGTTTCATCTTAATTTAAGGGATTTATCCCAAGACTAATCCCAATTTGAGGAACAACCGGTAGTTTCACCACATAGCTGAAGCTGTTTGACCTCCCATATACAGACATTAAAATCAGAAGATGAATAGTAACAGCAAATAGCTTATTTTGAGGACAACAGGACATCCAGGCAAGTGATAGAACCTGAAATCTCTGTTCATTACCCAGCAGAGGTCTATACATTCAATTGTTAACTAGAAACAGATGCACAATTACACAAGTCAATAGACTACTGGTACTGATGCTATACACCAACGGCTTGTTTTTAAAAACATGATAAAATATTATCGAAAACCTGAATTTATCATCTGAGGTTTCATTTTGTAAAGAATTAGCATGCAAAACATTGTGACAAAGAACGCTAATAGGTAATATCTGGATTTCAGTCATGAAGACAAATGATGTGTCTAACCATGTATAATAAAGAGAGGCTTAAATATGTAACATTTAAAATTTTCATTTGTCTCCTTTCCTCACTTCATGTCTGAAGTCACTTTAACAGAATTGCTGTGTGCGGCCAGGGGTCAAGAGAAGGTGGTGCCCAGACCAGCCAATGAAAAAGCGCAGAGTGCAGAGGTCACAGTCAAGCTGTCTTGCGGACTGATTGGACGGGCACAAACTAGATTAACTACAGTTGACCCTTCTTTCATACTGACATACAGGGCAGCCCTGCTTTTGCTAATGTGTGTGTAACCCACTTAAAGCGTTCACTGTTCGGAACAAAGTGGAAAACCTCATTTCTTTTAAAACAGCTCCACCTATAGAAAGCATTAAAAATAATGCTGCTTGCTACACTATTCAATTAATCATTGTACTGTTACAATGATTAATAAAACTATTACAGTAAAAAAAAAAAATCTCACCAATATCTCCTTCTTCAGCAAAAGGACATTTTAATGCAAACTTATACTGAAAGCAATGTATGCTGAAGTTCCCGTCTTCCAGCGTTCCTACGGTAAATCCCAGGCAAAATGAATGCTTACAATTTTAATGCGGCTACCTTGTGCAGCAGCTGTCTCGGAAACGGCGTGTTTCATCCCGTCTGCGACTTTGACCTTGCCATCTCCGCGAGTGTAAACTATGATTCATCAGCCCGATAAATCCCCCGCTTCATTTATGTGCGGCTTGAGATA